CAGGGCAGGCCTAATTTTGCTATTTTTAGTATGAGGACGTGGGCTTCACCATGGTTGGCCAGGGATGCCGTCTGACCTCTTGATCCTCCCGCCTCGGCCTCCCCAGTGGCTGGGAATTACAGGCCTGCAGCCACAGGCCACCCTTCCCAATTGACCATTATAATAGTTTGCACAGGATGGGTGGAGATGAATAGGGAAGGCGAAGAAATGGAATAGATGGAAAAGGGAAGGAACATCAGGGCGTTCATTTGAATTATATTGACTTGATACATGTGGTGAAACTTTTAAGTACGCAGGGAAGGTATGAAGTAAATGTGTGCATCCGTGCTTCAGAGGTGAGTCTAGCCAAGAGATAGCAAAAAGATTATATATTAAATTTGGATGAGTCTTGCGTGCATTGGCCATGCCTTCATCCCAACAATTTGGGAGGGCAAGGCAGGAGGATGGCTTGAGCCTAGGAGTTCAAGACCAGCCTGGTGGCAACATAGGGAGACCCCGTCTCTATTAAAAGCTAAAAAAAATTGGCTGGATGTGGTAGTGCACACCTGTAGTCCCATCTACTGCGAAAGTCTGGAGGCAGGATTTCTTGACCAGGATGTTGAACGCAGTGAGCATGATTGCCACCACTTACTCAGCCTGGGTGACAGAGCAAGACCATTTCTAAAAAAATAAAATAAAAATCCTAGGGATAGCAATATAAGGCAGTGACCAAGGAAGACAGCCCAGGACTGCAACCCCTAAAGAATCCCACATTTTATGGATTTGTTAAAAGAGGAGGCCGAGGGCGGAGCGCTTGTGTGTTTTATAGTGTCTCTCAGCACTTTGGAGCCCGAGACGGTGCATCCTTTGATATTTTGTAGGAGACGGATCCATCTGGCTTTACCCGGTGAAACCTGTTCTCTAAAAAAATACAAAAACTAAGACGGGCGTTTTTGATGTGCTGTTGCGTTCTGTTTAGTTCTTCGCATCTCGGTGAGGCTGCAGGCAGTTTTTTGAGAATGGGTTCTGGGAGCAGGGCTTGCCAGTGAGTGTGTCTTGTTCTTTCTTTGTCTTCTCAGCCTGGGCCACAGAGCCAGGACTCCGTCTAAAAAAAAAAAAAAAAAAATTGAGTAGGTCTCGATGTTCCTGTATAATGTGAGACTGAATAGGGGTAGGAAGTAAGTGAAATTGTGGTTTCACTATGTTTCAGATGTTATTTTGTTTCAATTCCTATGAAGTAGGAAGTAAGTGAATCAAATGTATTTGGTTTCTACTGCTGCGTAATGTATTATCTTCTGATTTACCAGCTTAATGTTCTACTAATCTCACCAAGCTCCTGTGTGTGTTCAGAAATCTGAGTTGTGATTGTGTGTGTTCTGGTCATGTGTGGACTCTTGAAGGCATCTCCATGGCTCTGTTTGTGTTTTGTACTATAGGGAGACTGGTCTCTAAAAATATTAAATTTATTATTAGTTAATTTTAAATTCATTAGATTTTATTCCTCTTGTAGAAATCAGAAAGTTACAACTCAAATATGATACTGATCTGCGTTTGTATTGATGTCACCATTATTGGGGCAATTTTTAAACCATTTCTTCCTTTTGCTGTTCTGGGTATTTTCCAAAATTTCTACAGTAAAAATCCTCCCAAGTAGCTGGAATTACAGGCATGCACCACCACACCTGGCTAATTTTTGTATTTTAAGTAGAGTCAAGGTTTTACCATGTTGGCCAGTCTGGTCTGAAATTCCTGACCTCAGGTGATCTGCCCACCTCGGCCTCCCAAAGTGCTGGCATTACAGGCATGAGCCACCGCGCCCAGCAAGAGTTTGTGTGTGTGTGTGTGTGTGTGTGTATGGTTCTTCCAAATCAAGTGTAAAAGTTCTCATTTAATAAGAAGAATAAGGATGGGTATGGTGGCTCATGCCTGTAATCCCATCACTTTAGGAAGCCGAATTGGGAGGATTACTTACACCCAGAGTTTGAACTGTATGAGCCACTGTATTCCAACCTGGGTGACAGAGAGAGAACCTGCCTCTAAAAAATACATACATACATATATACATAATAAAATATCCATTACTAAATCACAATCTTGATAAGCCTAATTATAAACTGCTGCTAAGAGAATATTTGCTTCCAGAGAGAATCTTTTAGATTTGTTTTTGTGGGATTTTTGGGGGTTTTTTTCCTAGAGTGCTCTAGAGCCCTCTTTTAGCTGCATTAATCTACTGTCGAGCAATGAAGGGGAGTACTTGGTTCAACAAGAGGAAAACATATATAAAATTGTTTGCTTCCATTTAAAAGGAACCTTTATACTGAATTCCAACCAACTGTGATAGTTAGGCCTAAAAATGGCTTAATCCTTTGCAAGACAGTTATTTTTCAAAATTCTATTTGTCATATTAGGGTCTGGCTAGTTAAGTTAAAAGCACCACTGGCTGATTTCTTAAGTTCAATTTTAGAGAGTATAATAAAAGCACAGACCTGACTTTGTGTTTCTAGTATTTGTGCCATTATTTTTTTAATCTACATTATTAAGCTTAACTTTGTACTGTAATGAGGTTATTTTCTGCCCACACAAGCCCATCCAATAGCTTTTTCTAAACACATTCGTTCTCCATTATGTATTCCAGGGAGATATTTCTGTCAATGGCATGTGAGATGATCTATTGACCCCATGATGAGATGCTTACTGCTTGAAAACAAATTCATTCACATTCTTAAAAATTGCTCAGGAGCAGGAACTATACAAATATTTATTGTTATTGGCCATTTATAATTTATTCATAGAGATCTAGGTGACAACCATCTGCTGCATAAAACTGAAAATTGGAAGAAAAAAAGAGTAAAAGTCACTGGAAAAATATAATTTAGTCTCCATATGTCTTTGATACATAATTCAATTTATTACTTGCTAGTGGTATGAGATGCTTTGTAATAATAGATACATATATGAAATTTAACACAAAGGGAAATTGAAATTTTACTCAAAAGTGTATGTTGAAGGACAAAGTGAAGACAATAGTAATAATACAGTAATTAGCAAATGTATATTGGCAAAGATAGTATAAACTAGACTGTGATAACGACTCCAAAATACATAATGGCTTACACGCAATAGCAGCTTTTTCTCAAACAGTCCAAGATAATTGAATTAGGTTGGTAAGTATTTTCTCCATGCAGTGATTCAGGGCCCCAAGCCATCTTGTGACTCCACGGGTAGAACTCAGGGGTCTACCAATTCCCAAAGAATCCATGGATAGAATTCAGAGCTGTCACTACAATTTGTTGTTGTTTTTAATTCAATAGTTTTTTAGGTGGTTTTTGGTTACATGGATGAATTCTTCAGTGGTGAATTCTGAGATTTTAGTGCACCCATCACCCAACCAGTGTACACAGTACCCAGTATGTAGTCTTGTGTCCCTCATAACCTCTCCCAACCTCCCAGAGATGTTACTATATTTGTATGGGAAAAATTACATCCCTGTTGGGGCCAAGCATGGTGTCTCACACCTGTAATCCCACCACTTTGGGAGGACAAGGCGGGCAGATCAACTGAGGTCAGGAATTCGAGACCAGCCTGGTCAACGTGGTGAAACCCCGTCTATACTAAAAATACAAAAAAATTAGCGGGGCGTGGTGACAGGCACCTGTAATCCCAGCTACTTGGGAGGCTGAGGCAGGAGAATTATTTGAACCCAGGAGTCGGAGGTTGCAGTAAACCGAGATCGCACCACTGCACTCCAGCCTGGACAACAAGTACATCCTTGTTAGCGTCAAACTAAAATTTATCATTTCCCCTAATTATGAATGTAGGCAAAACCACAGAAGTATTACCAGTACTTACGACTTTGAAACAAATAAAAAACCGATTTTTAAAAAAATCATTACTGTTAGGCCAGGCATAGTGGCTCATGCCTGTAATCCCAGCACTTTGGGAGGCCAAAGCAGGCAGATCACGAGGTGAGTTCGAGACCAGCCTGGCCAATATGGTGAAACCCTGTCTCTACTAAAAATACAAAAATTAGCCGGGTGTGGTGGCGCATGCCTATAGTCCCAGCTACTTGGGAGACTGAGGCAGAAGAACTGCTTGAACTCGGGAGGTAGAGGTTGCAGTGAGCTTGGCCACTGCACTCCAGCCTAGGCAACAGAGCCACAGCAAGACTCCATTGCAGAAAAAAAAAAAAAAATACTGTTTTGCAGATCTTTCAAAGAATCATTTCTACTTGGAATGCTTTCAAGATTATAGCAGTTGTATACCCGCCTCTAGATCCTCTACTTTAATATATTTTTTAGAAAGCATGTTATTGTAAGAAACCTTTACGTTAGCTCCCAGTGATCCTGGTTTCCTGGCATTCATACCCTTGTGTAATCCCCTTCCAGTAACAGAATATGGCAGAAATGATGGGATGTTATTTCTGAGATTAAGTGTACTGAATCTAGATTCTGTACCCTCTCTTGGAACACTTGCTGCAGGGGAAGTGAACTGCCATGTCTTGAGATAACGAGAGTTTGTGGAGAGAGATGCCATGAGTCTGTGGAGAGGTCAATATGACAAAGAACTGAAGCTTGCCAAGAGCCATTTGAGTGAGCTTGGAAGTGGATCTTTCCCCAGGTAATGCCTCCAGATGACTGCCTACTTAGTTGGCATCTTGATTGTAGCCTTGTGAGATACCCTGAGCCGCAACCACCCAGCTAAGCTGGTCCCAGATTCCTGACCCCCAGGAATGTGAGAGAATAAATGTTTTAAGCTACTAAGGTTTGAGATAATTTCTTATATATCAATAGAGAGCTAGTATATACATATATCATATCATTAACTTTTTTTTTTGAGACGGAGTTTAGCTCTCGTTGCCCAGACTGGAGTGCAATGGTGCAGTCAGTCTCGGCTCACTGCAGCCTTTGCCTCCCAGGTTCAAGTGATTCTCCCTGCCTCAGCCTCCTGAGTAGCTGGGATTACAGACACGCACCACCATGCCCAGCTAATGTTTTTTATATTTTTAGTAGGGACGGGGTTTCACCATGTTGGCCAAGCTAGTCCCAAACTTCTGACCTCAGGTGATCACCCACCTCAGCCTCCCAATGTGCTGGGATTACAGGCATGAGCCACTGCACCCAGCCCATATCACTAACTTTATAAATGTTTTTAGAATTGTATTCAATATAATTTATTTCCTTTATAATTCTATTATTTTATTTTATGCATTTTAAAACATTATTTTGCCAGGCTTGTGCCTCTAATCACAACCATGCAGGAGGCTGAGGCAGGAGGATTACTTGAGACCAGGAGTTTGAGACCAGCCTGAGAAACATAGTGAGACTCTGTCTCTAAAACAATAAAAATTAAAATTTAAAAAATAATAAATAAAATGTTAGTCTGAGAAGGGATGCAGAGCATTCTTCAGTGTGCCAAACAATCCATGCATGGTACAAATAAGATTAACCCTTCCTGGCCAGGTGCGGTGGCTCACATACATAATCCAGCACTTTGGGAGGCCAAGGTGGGCAGATCATGAGGTCAGGAGTTTGAGATCAGCCTGGCCAATATGGTGAAACCCCATCTCTACTAAAAATACAAAAGTTAGTTGGGCATGGTGGCATGTGCCTGTAATCCCAGCTACTTGGGAGGCTGAGGCAGAAGAATCACTTGAATCCGGGAGGCAGAGGTTGCAGTGAGCCAAGATTGCAACAGTGCACTCCAGCCTGGGCTGGAGACAGAGTGAGACTCCACCTCAAAAAAAAAAAAAAAAAAAAAAAAAAAAAAAAAAAAGAAAAGAAAAGATTAACCCTTCCTGTGGCCTCGTTGTTGCCTTGTACTAGCTGGCGAAAGGAGGACAGAACAGGGAGGAGGCATACCTCTTTAATATCCTTGACCTAGGAATAGCAGACTTTTCTAATCACATTTATTGCAATAAACATGGACACATCCTGATGCAATAGAGACTGGCAAATGGAGTTCCTGGGTAAACTGGCTTTGCTCTATGTGGTGCAAGGACCTATTTTGATAGTACCAGAGCAAATGCCAAAAATGTTAATAAAGCAATGAAAATAATATCTGCCAGAATAGAATCTTAGGATTTTTTGAAAAATAAACACAAGAAATCAAATTAAAGAAACAGATGCTGATGACATAAAAAATTTTGTGAACTTTTATTCCAAATGATATTTGTAGACCTGAAGATGTGAAGAACTGATTTGGATTTAGAATCTAGATCAGAAATCAAATTATTCTTCAGTCTTCCTTAAGAATAAATAAATGTTGTAAGACTATGAACATAAAGTCTTAATTTTCCTGAAGTCATGGAACAAAGAATGGGATAGGATCCTTGCTGTTTATTTATTCAGTAAACATTTGCTGAGGGTCTACTGTGTAACAGGGACTGCACTAAGAACTGGGGAAAATGAGACTGCCAAAAATATGACAAGACCCCTGAAATGGACTGAATGTGTTACCCCCAAAATTCCTATGTTGAGACCCTAATCTCAATGTGATGGTATTTGGAGGTAGGGCCTCTGGGTAGTAATTAGGACGTAAGGGTGGGGCACTCTTAAATGTATTAGTGCCCTTATAAGAAAAGCCCAGATAACTAGCTAGCTTTTGGTAGAATTATTGAAAATGCCCTGTGATGGTTAATGAATGTCAACTTCATTGGATTAAAGGATGTAAAGTATTGTTCCTGGGTGTGTCTGTGAGGGTGTTGCCAAGGGATATTAACATTTGAGTCAGTGGACTAGGAGAGGCAGACCCACCCTCAAACTGCGTGGACACCATCTAAGCAGCTGCCAACTGGGCTAGAAAAAGCAGGCAGAAGGTGGAAGGAGATGACTTGCTGAGTCTTTGGGCCTTCATCTTTCTCCTGTGCTGGATGCTTCCTGCCCTCAAACATCATACTACAAGTTCTTCAGCTTTTGGACTCTTGGACTTACACCAGTGGTTTTCCAGGGGCTCTTGGGCTTTCAGCCACAGACTGAAGGCTGTACTGTCAGCTTCCCTGCTTTTGAGGTTTTGGGACTCAGACCGGCTTCCTTGTTCCCCAGCTTGTAGATGACCTATTGTGGGACTTCCTTTTGTGATCCTGTGAGTCAATTCTCCTTAATAAACTCCTCTTCATATATATATACACACATATATATACACACACACATATATATGTGTATGTGTGTATATATATATCCTATTAGTTCTGTCCCCCTAGAGTACACTGCATTTATGAAACCACATAAATGGTGGTTTCATAAATTCAGTGTTGTGTGAAAAAATTAGTTATCTTGATGACTAATGACTCCTGGAGAAAAATTAAGACACAGATAAGTTGGGCTGCCAATAGCTCATCAGATGTCTTTGAGACGACGAGGCAGACCTACCCTTTCCTTGAACTTTCTGCCACTTGAGGATACAAGGAGAAGTTGGCAGCCTGCAACCTAGAAGAAGACCCTGACCAGAACTGGACCATGGTGGCACTGGATGTCAACTTTCCAGCCTCCAGAACAGTGAGAAATGTTTCTTTTGTTTGTAAGCCACCCAGCCTATGGCAATTCATTCTATCAACCTGAACTGACAGTCAGCATGTTTCCAGAGATCTTATACTGAGGGAAGTGGCTCAGCAAAGTAAATCCGTACAGTGATCTCTACTAAGTTCTGTGACATACATAAACAGAGTGCTAAAAGCAGTGTGCTAACAGCAAAATCATTCACAGTTTTTTAATTTCAACATCATTGGACTAAAACGATAAACTGGAAAGTCAGGCTTCAATTGTTAAATAGGGTAGGATTCCTATGGGGATAATTTTTTATGCCTTCCCAGGACCCTGAATCCACAAAGTAAAGCTGTCCCCCAATGTTCACAGAAAGTTTTCAGAAAAGATCTTAGGCCTCTGCTAATGGGGAATGACAAGAAAGACTTGAAAATCCATGATGTTGTTCCATAAATGCAGTGTCATGTGAAAAAAACTAGTTATCCTCTGCTCCCTCCAATGTTTACAGGCTGACTCATGACTGATGACTCCTGGGGAAAAATCAAGACACAGGTAAGCTGAGCTGCCAATAGCTCATCAGATGTTTTTGGGAAGATGAGACAAACTTACCCTTTCCTCAGGCTGAGGCATCCCCACGCTTAGGCATGTGGCTTGAAGAGCAGGTGAGCAGAGTGCAGGCTGGAGCTCGGCCCTCTTTGAGCCTTTGGCTATACATTCTGACACAGCAATGGCCCTGCCAGAAGCTCCCTGGCAAAGAAACACCTCTCCCCACTGCACCCTTCCTTCCGAGCACCTATTACTTTGTTATTCATCCCTCAGCAACTTAGGGTTCCTGGGAGTATGTCATTCTTCCTGCTTAGTTGACAGTGTTATACAAGATTATATTCTTTTTCATAATGTTGAATATTCATTCTTCAGTCAACAAATATTTATTGAAGAATAAATGAGGTATTTGAAGAAATGAAGTATTATACCCTTATGACAGATAAATAATAGAAAATTATCTCATTGAAACCCAGGGTCACATCAAGTAACTGGTATAATCTGTATTTCATTGAAACATCACTCTTTGTCATTGCATATTTCAGGAATAAGCAATATGCTTAAGGGAATAAGCAAATGAGTAACCCAGTTCTATTTAAGGAAATATTTGATTTTCAAGAGGTGGTCTTTGAAAAGTTCTGATTGCCTCTCAGGAAAGATACTAATGCTGGTATTCTGCCCAGGTGATTGTATTTTGCCTCTGTGATATATGTATATGTATGTGTATATATATGATAATGTATATCCTCCCTTCACTAAACGGTTTTTAACAGTGGTACTCAAGCCTGTTGTTTTAACATACTGATGAGTTGTACAGCATTTTCAATGTGACTTACTACCATGTGGGCTGAACTGAGATAGTCCTTCTTCCTTCTTCCAGGAGAGGAAGGGTATTCCCATTCATCCCAGTAATTCTAATAGAGGAAATAGTCCTTGGACCTGCAGCAACAGCGTTATCTGGGGATTTGTTAGCAATGCAAGTTCTCAGACTCCACCATAGAACTACTGAATCAGACATTCTGGGATGAGGCCCAGCATTCCATGGTCTAACAAACCCTCCAGGTGACTGTAATGTACATTCAAGTTTAAGAACCACTGCAGTAGACCCATTTCCTGGTTGATTAAATGGCCCTTATATTGTAAATAAGCAGAATAGTCAAATATTCCTTCACACAATAGGCTAGGGCTGTCATTTGACAGGATCATAGTCGTTTTAACAGGAGGAATATGATGAATCTGAAAAGCGGAAACACTATTTGCAATGGCAGTTGTGTGTCCCTATGCAACATGAGGCGAGGAGGCCTTGAGGATTCCACTGATGGAAAGAATTGAGCTGAAATCTGAGCACCTACCATCCTCTTCCTCCTCTCCCCTCCCAACATCTGCATGGAACCACAGCCCTCCCCTCTTTCCTTTGGAGCTGGTGAAGCATGGAAAGGGGAAAGTCATTCCCAGCATCCACCAAGGTTTAGAGGTAGTGCCATAAGCAAATATCTATACCACCAAGTTCTCCAGTAAGGAGGGGCAGAGGCAGCGTGTGGGCCACACACACTGAGTTTGAAAAATAGCAAAGTTTGAAAAGGAGTTAAGGGGTTATGGGCAAGAGATTAGGTGGCCAGTGGGAGGAGATTGAGAATAAAGCAAACCAGAAATCCTCAAAGACCTGAGGCATGTGACTTGAAGAGCAGGTGAGAAGTTGTTGCCTGCCCATGCGGTTAAAAGTCGCAAATCCCAGTTCATCTAATAGATGCAGCTTTAGGAATGATTTTACAGTAAAAATCCACTGCTTAGAATGTCATTATAGTTTGTTCTGGGAAGACAGGTGAAGTGGCACTCCATCCTGGAAAGACAGCTCCGCTTTCTGATCAGGCAGGACTTTCTCACTCCCTCTCACACTTCAAGTTGAAAATTCAATAGCCAGCTAAACCAAACGGCCCGCACACAGTTGCGTCTGACTGACCATTGTCAACAGTAATGCCTCTTTGTTCTCTGTGAAGTAAGTGGAATAAATGGAGCACTGCCTTAATGCCCTTGCCAACTGAGTACTCAATAGTTCTGTTGTTTAAGGGCTCAACCCCTCCCACTACCCAGAAAGTAATGTGCTCTGAAATCTAGTGACAACCCAAGGTAGACTGGGCACTCTGGAAAGGAGGCATGGCCTGGTTGTTATAATGCGTGTGATATAAGATATTTTTAGGACTAGAATGAAGTGAAGGATATTGAAAATTCCAAAAAAAGCCCAGGCACAGTGACTTATACCTGTAATCCCAGCACTTTGAGAGGCTGAGGAGGGCAGATTGCCTGAGTCCGGGAGTTCCAGACCAGCCTGGCCAACATGGTGAAACCCCGTCTCTACTAAAAATACAAAAATTAGCCGGGTATGGTGGTGCTTGCCTGTAATTCCAGTTACTTGGGAGGCTGAAGCAGGAGAATTGCTTGAACCTGGGAGGCAGAGGTTGTAGTAAGCCAAGACCGTGCCACTGTACTCTATCCTGGGCAACAGAGCAAGACTCCATCTCAAAAAGGAAAAAAATAAAAATTAGCAGTGCATGGTGGTGCGTGTCTATAATCCTAGCTACCCAGGAGGCTAAGGCAGGAGAATTGCTTGAATCCAGGAGGCAGAGGCTGCAGTGAGCCGAGATCACGCCACTGCACTTCTGCCTGGGCGACAGAGCGAGAATCCATCTCAAAAAAAGAGAAAACTCCAAAAAAAGTAATATTCACACGTAAGGTTTAGTCTAGGCTAAATGTTGCCTTAAACCAGGGGTGGGCAAACTATAGCCCATGAGCCAAATTTAGCCTGCAGCCTGTTTTTGTAAATAAAGTTTTATTGGAGCACAGCCAGGCTCATTCATTTAGGTACAATACATGTCTACTTTTGTCATACAACAGCAGAATTGAATAATTGTAGTAGAGAATAGATGGCCTGCAAAAGCCTGAAATATTTGCTGTCTGGCCTTTTGCAGAAAGAATATGCTGGACCTGCCTTACACTCAACTGTAACCTTTGGGCTTGGAAGTCACCACAGGCCCTCCATTTTTAGGGCTGTTTGATCAATGCAAGGGCTTAGTTATGTGAACTACTGTTACCCACCAGTAAATGCCCCAATTTTTATCAGAATAAAGTAGAATATCTACCTCTTCTTGTCTATTTTGCTTTTTCTTTAGTTCAAAACCACATTTATCATTCACTTTCCCAAAATGATGAGAAATTTTGCTTATCCCAGTTATATTTAAAGAAATATTTGATTTTTAAGATGCCTCTTTGCCTTTTTTCAACAATGACCCCGCCTTCTCCTTGGCACCTTCAGTTGACAGTTTCTCACTACTTCATACTAGGTGCTCATTTGTCGCCCATCTCCGAGTGACTTTACCATTTTCCTTATCCTCAGCCACTGACAGCCAACATATTTTTAAAATGCAGTGGCCTGGCCGGGCGCGGTGGCTCACACCTGTAATCCCAGCACTTTGGGAGGCCGAGGCGGGCGGATCACGAGGTCAGGACATGGAGATCATCCTAGCTAACACTGTGAAACCCTGTCTCTACTAAAAAAAATACGAAAAAAATTAGCTGGGCGTGGTGGCGGGCGCCTGTAGCCGGGAGTCTGAGGCAGGAGAATGGCGTGAACCTGGGGGTCGGAGCTTGCAGTGAGCTGAGGTCGTGCCACTGCACTCCAGCCTGGGTGACAGAGCGAGACTCGGTCTCAAAAAAAAAAAAAAAAAACCAACAGTGGCCTGTGGCACTAACGAGCCACAGTAAAGATCTGCAAGTCCCCTCTACCCCCACTCCCTGCTTTGAAATCAAGTCTGGTAAGTCAGCCCACTTCTTAAAATTCACGTACACAGATGCAGGACTTCATACACAGGTACCCTTACAAACACACACTGACCCATAGTCTGCAGTTTTTTCTTTACTTCTTTGGGACTAAACTTTTCATTCAAAATGAAGTCTGTTTTATTATTCCATATATCTTAGGGCTTGAATTCTTCCTAGGTGGAAAATGCTGGGAGCTCCAAAAACTTGGCATATTCTGAAAAGAGTGTATTGCAGCCATTTGTTTTCTACTATTATGGTGGACACGTGGGCCGGCAGCATAAGTAGGCAGCCTTCACATTAGTTTTTGATGTTAAAACTATGTAGGTAGATATTCAAAATACCTAATAAATAATTTTTTAAGAGTGCATACCAGCTGGGCATGGTGGCTCATGCCTGTAATCCCAGTGCTTTGGGAGGCTGAGGTGGGAAGATCACTGAGGCCAGGCGTTCAAGACAACCCTGGGCAACATAGCAAGACCCCATCTCTACAAAACGTTTTACAAATTAGGTGGCACACACCTGTAGTCCTAGCTACTTGGGATGCTGAGGTGGGAGAATTGCTTAAGCCCAAGAGTTGAAGGTTACTGTGAACCATGATTGTACCACTGCACTCTAGCCTGGGCAACAGAGCAAGACCCTGTCTCTTAAAAGGACAGAGAGAGAGAGCATACTTTTTAAGACTGACCATTTTTATAGGCAATATGGAAAAATGTTGATGTAGAAGATTCCAGATCATTGCCTTCCTAGAAAATTTCAAATCTAGAACTGTTTCTATACTTTTTTGCAGTAAGCCCACAGCTCTCCACCGAATATGTAGAATACTTTAAATGTTGCTAAAATTTAATATAATAGAGGTTCTGCAGAGGCCACTTTTGCCCCTAGTGAAATTCTTGCTAAAACAGTCATTATGAAATGGCAGATTATCTTTTCTACATCAAAATCTATGGTGAAGTGGGATATAGCTTCTCACCACTCCAGGCAAGGCACAGGACCAAAATGGCAGAGTACCAGGTAAGTTGGACATTCCTGACCATAAATAAAAAGGAAGATGAAAAGGAGGTGGAAGAGGAGGAGGAGAAGAAGGAGGAAAAGAAACAGAAGTGACATGTTTAAGGACTGTTGTTATATCTTTCTTTTTTTTGGATCTCCTGGTCTCAAGCAATCCTACCTCAGCACCCCCACCGAGTAGCTGGGACTACAGGCATGCACCATGATGCCTGGCTAATTTTTGTATTTTTTGTAGAGATGGAATTTCACCATGTTGCCCAAGCTGGTCTTGAACTCCTGGGCTCAAGCAATCTGCCCACCTTGCCAACCCAAAGTGTTGGAATTACAGACATGAGCTACCACTCCCAGCCTGTTGTTATATCTTTCCTTTAATGAATTGTCTCTTTATATTTTTTGTTTGTGTCTTTTTCTCTCACTTTTAGAAAAGTTTTTAATATATTAGGCATATTGGACCTTTATGACATATATTGCAAATATTTCATCCCAGTTTATCAGCCTGACTTTGCTTATGCAATTTTTGCCATGCAAATGGCTTCTTTTGTTATTTTTTATTTTTTGTAGAGACGAGATTTCACCATACTGCCCAGGCTGCTCTTGAACTCCTAGGCTCAAGTGATCTGCCCACCTTGGCCTCCCAAAGTGTTGGGATTACAGGTGTGAGCCACTGCACCCAACCCTTTCCTTTTTTCTTCTCTTTCTCTCTCCCTCCCTCCCTTCCTCTCTCTCTTTCTTTCTTTTCATTCTTTCTCTCTCTCTCTTCTTTCTTTCTCTATTTCTTCCTTCTTTCTTGCTTGCTTTTCTTTCTTCTTTCTTTCTTCTTTCTTTTTTTTCTTTCTTTTTCTTTTTTCTTTTCTTTCTGTCTTTCTTCTTTCTAAAAGGTTCTCACTCTGTCACCCATGCTGGAGTACAGGGTAGCCGAAGTGATTCTCCTGCCTCAGCTTTCCAAAGTGCTGGGATCACAGGCCTGAGTCATGGCACCTGGCCAGTTTTTATTTTTATGTAATCAAATTTGTCTGTTTTTCTTTCACTGCATCTGGACTTTCAGTCACAGTGAGAAAGTGGGAATACCAAAGATAAAGATGACACCCATGACATGAAAAATCTTCTCATTTTTTACATTTAGATCTCTGATCCATTTGGAGTTTGTTCTTATACATGTGAAATATAAATCTAATTTTATCTTTTTCCAGATGGTTAACCGGTTGTTTGTTTGTTTGTTTGTTTGTTTGTTTGTTTGTTTTGAGACAGAGTTTTGCTCTTGTTGCCCAGGCTGGAGTGCAGTGGCGCAATCTCAGCTCTCTGCAACCTCCGCCTCCTGGATTCAAGAGAGGTTCTCCTGCCTCAGCCTCCTGAGTAGCTGGGGTTACAGGCGTGTACCACCACACCCAGCTAATTTTTTGTATTTTTAATAGAGACACGGGTTTCTCCATGTTGGTCAGGCTGGTCTCAAACTCCCCACCTCAGGTGATCCACCCACCTCGGCCTCCCAAAGTGCTGGGATTACAGGTGTGAGCCGTTGCACCCGGCCTAACCAGTTGTTTTAACATCATTTATTAAAATTCTTTCTTGGTCCCAGTGACTTGAAATGGTACCTTTATCATTTACAGTACTAAAGTTTCATATGAGCTTGGGTCTCTTTCTAGATTATCTATTTTACTCCACTGGTGTCCCTGCATATTCACGTGCCTGTACCATATAGGTTTAATTATAAAGGTTTTATAGTGTGTTTTCAGTCTGGGAGGGCTAGTGGGCTCATTCCTTCTCATAGATTTTCTTTTTTAGTGTTCCCTGTTTTTGTTTTTGCTTTTTGGGGGTTTTTTTGTTTTTTTGAGATGGAATCTTGCTTTGTCGCCCAGGCTGGAGTGCAGTGACACGATCTTGGCTCACTGCAACCTCCGCTTCCCTGGTTCAAGCAGTTCCCCTGCCTCAGCCTCCCGAGTAGCTGGGATTAGAGGTGCACACCACCACGCCCGGCTAATTTTTTTGTATTTTTAGTAGAGATGGGGTTTCACCATGTTGGCCAGACGGGTATCAAACTCCTGACCTGAGGCAATCTGCCCGCCTCAGCCTCCCAAAATGCTGGGATTACAAGCATGAGCCACAGCGCCCGGCTAGTGTTCTCTGTTATTACATGTTTATTTTTTCATATGAAGTTAAGTATCAACTTGCCTAGCTTCATGAAAAAAAGTTAGAATTTGAAGCGGGGGTGGAGACGAAGTTAAATTTACAAATTAATTTAGGGAAAACTGACATCTTTATGATGGTAAGCCATCCTATCAAAATATGAGGTGTCCTTTCTTTTGTCAAAGTTAATTTTGTCTCTTTTAGCAGAGTTTTAAAGTTTTCCTCATATAGATTTGCACATTTCTTATTAAATGTATCCCTAATATTTTATCTTGTTTGTTGCTATTATAATGAGGATTTTCTCCGTCATTCTGTCTCTAGATGGTTACTTCCTGTGCATGTGAAAGTTACTGATCTCCACATACTGTTGTTATATTCTACTATTCTGTTCAATTGTTTGAATTAATTTTATCATTTTCTAGGGTTTTCCAGGCACACCATCATATCATCCAAAAGCAGCTAATACATTTCTCGTGGAAATTGTCAAGTTGATTTGAACACTTATATGAAAATGCAGTGAATCTAGAAGAGCCAAAACAAAAAGAAAAACATACTGCTGCCACCTGATTTCAGATTTCACTGTACACCTGATTTCGGATTTCATTGTACACCTGATTTCGGATTTCACTGTACACCTGATTTCGGATTTCACTGTACACCTGATTGTGGATTTCACTGTACACCTGATTGCGGATTTCACTGTACACCTGATTTCGGATTTCACTATGGTGTGAGGACAGACAGATCAATGAACAGAATAAACAGCCTGGAGATGACGCAGTCACCAAGACAATTAAATGGGGAAAAGAAAGTCTTTTTGAATAAATAGTGCTGAACAACTGGTTACACACATGGAAAGGAAAAAACCTTGATTGATTACTGCTACTTCCTGATCTTTACTGCTCTTTTGTGGTCTTAATTGTATCATCTGTGAAATAATTATGCTGTGGGTCCACAGTTCCTTACCTGTGGATCCAAAACAGAAAATTCTCTAAAAACTGCAGGTTTCTTTCTAAGGCTTTTTGTGCCAAAATCCAACCGTACCTAGATTCATTTGGTCACAGACCTTATCTGAAATGATTTGAGGCTACTTGTAGTTTCTATGTAATTTAGTGTAGTCACACATTTCACTGAAAATATACACATTTACTTGATTACGAGTTGTTACCTAGACCCTGCTGATTGAGTTCCATGCTATATAGTATATGCAATATATTACCTAACTAAAATCCAAAAAGTTCTAAATTCATACATACATAAGAATTAAACAATCCATGTAAAGCACTGAATATAGTGTCTGGCACAGAGTAACCCCTCAATATAATATAGGTGGTAATACTGGCCCGGCCCAGTGGCTCACACCTGTAATCCCAGCACTTTGGGAGGCTGAGGTGGGCATTTGAGACCAGCCTGGCCAACGTGGTGAAACCCTGTCTCTACTAAAAATACAGAAATTAGCCGGGCATGGTGGCGGGTACCTGTAATGCCAGCTACTTGGGAGGCTGAGGCATGAAAATCAGTTGAACCCAGGAGGCGGAGGTTGCAGTGAGCCGAGATTGCACCACTGTACTCCAGCCTGGGCAACAGAGTGAGACCCTGTCTCAAAATAATAATAATAATAATAATATAGGGATAATACTACCACTATAACTAGTACTATTACCTCCACAACCACTATTATCATTACTATTATTATAAATTGTAGGAGTAGCCAATAAAGTGACTAAACACAAAAGGAATTAATAACAACAATAGAAGTTTAAAGGACTTGTGCAGTATCTGTAGGTGAGTCAAGCCTCCCTAGAGTCTACAGGGAAGTGGCATTGGTGATTCAACAGAGATACCCAGGAGGAGATGGTGAAACAAAGCTGACTGCCTGTCAGGAAACTTGCCTCCTGCCCTTGCTCTTGGGTGGGGATTCTCCTTGCATTGCTAAATTTAGAGAACCTGAAGGGATTCGAAGACGTGGCATGCTTCCTGATAGACCACAGTCAGGAAAAGATTGTTACCATCCAAAAGGCATTTACTTTTCAGGGAAAGAGAGAAAGAGAGGAGAAGATAAATAAATACACGGAGAAAAAATAGGGAAGGGAAAGAGAGAAGAACCCAAGAGAACAGCCGCTTTTCCTCCTCCTTTTTCTTGGGCCACTGCCCAAGAAAAAGAGTCGTCACCTGCAGTGACTCCGACTGCTGGTGCAGGTGTCCTCAGGAGTAAATCAGTCGACTGCACAAACTCTGAAGTAGGGGGGTAGCTGAGGACAACAGGTGGAGAATGACTGGAATAGTCACCTCCCCACACTTCGGGCCAAACCCCCACGACTGACAGATGGCATTTCCTCCTTTACTCTCTAGAAGAGCATATCACATACAGTGGGACAATAATCAAATTGATAATATTGTCAACATGAACACTGGAGGTAACATATATGTAATATACAAATACATATTTATTGTTGTCCTATAAAGGGGAACACATCCCAACCCTTTTTTAAGGTTAGCATGACTTTGTTACCAAACCAGGAAAAGACATTATCAGAGTAGTAAGCTATAGGCTCATCTTACTCATAAATATAGATTCAAGAATCCTTAAAAAAAAAAAAACAAATTAAATTCAACAACACACAGGGAAGGTAATACCCTTGCCCAGTTGGGTTTATCTCAGGCATCTATATGTTAGTTTAATATCAGAAAAACTATGGATATAATTCACCATAATAGCAGATTAAGAAAAGAGAAGATTTGTGATGATCTCAAGGTTTATGCTGATAAAATCCAACGTAAATTCATAATACAAACTTTTACTAAATCAAAAATATAGCCAGTTTCCTTAACCTCATAAAAATGTCTATAAAAAGCCTTTAAGCAAACATCATTCTGTATGGGAAAACACCAGAAATATTTTCTTTAAAGCAAGATTGAAACAAGATGTTCACTCTTACTGCTCCTCAGTAGCAATAAAAAATTAGAATCATAAAGATAAACCATTTTTATTTATAGATGGCATTATTATTTACACAGAACAAATAAAATAATTTATAGGCCAGGTATGGTGGCTCACTCCTGTAATCCTAATACTTTGAGAGTATCACTTGAGACCTGGAGGTGGATCCAAGCAGATCAAGGAGGATCACTTGAGTCCTGGAGTTTGAGACAAACCTGGGGAACATAGCAAGACCTCATCTCTACAAAATATTTAAAAATTAACCAAATGCAATGGCTCGTGCCTATAGTCCCAACTACTGGGGAGGTTGAGGTAGGAGGATCTCTTGAGCCCAGGAGTTTGAGGCTACAATGAGCTATGATGGTGCCACTGCACTCCAGTCTTGGAAACAGAGCAAGACCCCATCCTACCCCTACTCCCCTCCCCTACCAAAAAAAAAATAATTTACAGGTGATGTATTTGAAATAGGAAAGGTTAGCAAATTAGCAAGACAGTTGCATTTCCGAACACCAGCAACAAACACGTAAAGATTGAAATTAGAAAGAAGACATCATTTGTAATACTTCAGAGACTGTCAGGAGCCTAGAAAAAAATTCTAGCAAAACATATAAAACATATACAGGGAATTTTTTAAATTTATTTTTTAGAGACAGGGTCTCACACTGTCACCCAGGCTGGAGTGGTGTGCACTATCACAGCTCACTGCAGCCTTGAAAAAAGCAACCAAAATGAACGAAATATAGCAACATGCAACAATATGGATGAATCTTATCAATATGAACTTTAAAAAGTCTCAACATACTTACATAAAACCTGCTATCCTTTTCATAAAATGGAAAAGTACATTTTTTAGAAATTCATATAGTTGAGTGAAGAAACTGCATAGAAAGAAAGCAACAGATTGATGGATGCTGGTCTTTGGATTCTGGCACCTCAGGAAGGCAAGAAAAGAGAAGAAGAAAGAACATGAGTAAATGTAAGATACTGTCAAACTCTTAGTGTTTATAATGAGAGATGGATTCATGGTTGCTTATTATGTAATAATAATACAAAGATGAGGAGAGAGAGAGGGGAAGAAATGGACATTCATAAGCCAATGATAAAAGTGAGTTGGCTGGGTGCAGTGGCTCACACCTGCAATTCCAGCACTTTGGGAGGCCGAGGCAAGCAGATCAACTGAGGCCAGGAGTTCGAGACCAACCTGGCCAACATGGTGAAACCCCCATCTCTACTAAAAATACAAAAATTAGCTGAGGGTGGTGGCACACAACTGTAATCCTAGCTACTTGGGAGGCTGAGGCAGGAAAATCACTTGAAGCTAGGAGGCAGAGGTTGCAGTGAAGCTGAGATCATGTCACTGCACTCCAGCCTAGGCCATACAGTGAGACTCCATCTGGAAAAAAAAAAAGAGTCATGACCAAGGATTACGATTATGTGGACTTCAATATCCAGTGAAAAATGAACCATAACAAAAGCTATAAAAGTTATTGACCAAGAAAAGTAGGTGGTTTGGATTTTGCAAAGTTTCTGGAATAAGTAAACCCACTTAGCCACAGTGTGATTAAAATTCTACTTTAAAGTGATATCTGAGAGTAGGGAGACAGAAGATTAAAAACTTTTTGTTATAAGGGATAAGAAACTTGATAAAGGAATTCTCCAGGTTCAGGACAGATGGCAGAAGACAGAAAAAGGCTCAGACGCACAGCAGAGAATCAGGGAAGAAAAGAATCCCCACAGGACCAGAAATACATCAATTCTCTTGATTACAGCTAAGAGCTTTGCCAGCTCCTTCCTGAGCAACCCACTATACATCTTTGCAGTTGGATGTTGTTTTACAGAGTGAACACTTATGCTCCCCTCTCCAAATTCATAAGTTGAAACCCTAAACCCTGATGTGAGGGTATTTTGAGATGGTGCCTTTGAGAGGTAATTAGGGTTAGGTGGGGTCATGAGGGTGTGACACTAATGATGGGATTGGTATCCTTATAAGAAGCAACACGGAGAGCTTGCTCTCTTTCACTCTCTGACATGTGAGCACACAGTGAGAAGGGGGCAATCTGCAAGTCCGGAAGAGAGCCCTCATCAGGAACTGAATCAGTTGGCACCTTGATCTTGGCCTTCCCAGTCTCCAGAACTGTGAGAAAATAAATTTCTATTATTTAAACCACCCAGTCCATAGCATTCTGTAATGGCAGCCTGAGCAGACTGAGGCAATTGTATAGCAGTGCATTTACATGTTTACTCGTTCATTCAATGGTGTGAGGTTAATTGTTTCAAATGAATTAACCTTCATCCAAAGTGAAGAGCCCTTCCAGTTATTTTTATTTATCTATTTATTTATTTTGGAGATGGAGTCTCACTTTGTCGCCCAGGTTGGAGTGCAGTGGCATGATCTTGGCTGACTGCAACCTCCACCTCCCAGGTTCAAGTGATTCTTCTGCCTCAGCCTCCTGAGTAGCTGGGACTACAGGCGTGCACCACCACACCCGGCTAATTTTTGTATTTTTAGTAGAGACGGGGTTTCACCATGTTGGCCAGGCTGGTCTAAAACTTCTGACGTCGTGATCCGCTGGCCTCAGCCTCCCAAAGTGCTGGGATTACAGGTGTAAGCTACCGTGCCTGGCAGATATTTTTATATTTACATGGATTGAGTGGCCCTATCCAAGCATTGTAGACCAGTGAGATCAAAACCAGGGAAGAAGCACCCTTCCACTGCTTTAGGAAGGACTATTTCTGCCTGGGAGTGCTACACATTAAATAATTGAAAGAGGATAAAATGGCTAGATAGGCCAACTTCTCCGCACGATTCAGCTTGGTTACTGGCCTTTGAAGGCAGAAAAACCCGTTGGTCTGAAATCTCAGTGGCTCACTGCCTCCACCTTCTGGAGATTTGGAGACATGGTAGTGTTGT